CACACACACACACACACACACACACACACACACACACACACACAAACACACACACACACACACACACACACACACACACACACACACACACACACACACACACACACACACACACACACACACACACACACACACACACACACACACACACACACACACACGGAATATACTGCTATGAGACATAAAGACCAAGTACTAGATCTGCTGTTCTCCCTGTTAGTTGTGAATTTAAGTGTGTGTACTGATACCTGTAGCCTTCCTCTTTAGGCAGAATGATGCGTTTGGGTGAAATGTTGGTGAAAAGTCTGACAGGAGACTGCCTCCTGCCCGTCTTCCCTTGTTTATACAGAGGATGGTTGTCATAGTCCACCTGGTTTGAGACATAATCAAAAAAGACTGAATTAGGTACAAAATCAAAGCCATTAGAATAGCCTGAAATGGCAAACTGGGAACTTCACATTGTTGCAACAGCCATTCACTGTCACTGGCTGTGACAGTGAACAATAAATCCCAACAGGTATTCCTGATAATGTACAGTCCTGCTGTGGTACCTGGTAGTCCAACATGGTGAAAGAGGGGAGACACTCCAGGATGCGAGACTCAAAGAAATACGGAAAGATCCAAATCATAGCCATCTGAATGTTCCGGTCACCTGAACACGTAAAAGCATTTGAGAACATTCCTTTTCAAGTTCAAGTCAATTTTATTGTCATTCACATCACATGTGGTAGATGAGGTGGAATGAAATTATGTAAACAGGGTCCCACTTACACCCAAAAATCGCAAAATATAATGTATAAAAAGAAAATGTAAATAAGGGTCTAAGATATATACTGATATATGCTAAACAAACGCCAAATGGTATGCTAAAAGATATAAGATATACGCTAAACACAAATAATGTAAAACAATACAGCGTAACAACAGCAGCCCATTAGCATGTTAAATCTGGATGAGCTCCGCATGTACCATCAAATAACACCAATCCTCTGTACCAAAAGTTTCCTAACATGTCAAATTTGAGATGACAGCCTTTGCCCAACTTCAAACATGAGGGGTTCATAATGATTGTTGTTGTGACACAAGTTAGCTGTACCTCACTGACCGATGTTGCTCAAGTATTGCTTTTATTTGAAATTGTTAGAAATGAGCAAAGTTTATCTATAAAATCTAATTATGTCTTATAGCCCACTGTTGAAGCAAAGATGGAGATGTCTGTGTGTGTCAACTTGATTCAAGACAGCTGCCAAAACAAATTACCGTATTTTTCGCCATATAAGTTGCATTTTTTTTGCATAATTTGCATGTCCTGCGACTTATACACCGAAACAACGCTTTATGGATTTTTTTCCCATATTTATAAATTTTTTTTGGCTGAGATATGACAGTTTTCATTCATTCTGACTGAAAATATTGAATGTATGGCATGCTATTGTGTCATGTACCGTATTTTCTGCCGTAAACATTGCTCTGCCCTATAAGTCGCATCAGTCCAAATATGTCTAATAAAGTGGAAAAACCCATAAATATGTAGTTTTGCCATATACGTCGTATCTATTATGCGTCACCGCTGTAGTGAACTCGGTCTCTGACCAAAACCTGCCTCTGAAGACCTTCATGGGACAGGAACTGTTATTTCATTGATTTGAATCCAGAAATACAAATTAGCTCATCCAGAGACTTTCTAATTGTATCCTGAAGTAATCAATTGAAAGAACACTCTTCTTTTTATATTATCATTACTATTTTACAATATCTTGGTAAATCAAAAGTGTGTTTAGTTCATACCATTTCTAAATGTTGAACCACTTATTTTAAATCAACTGTGAAACAGTATTAATGATTTTTTTAATCCTCTTTTAAATTAGTAATCAAGTTAAATGTCTATTTACAAAGTAATTATGCATTTTGATCATCTGTCTGAATGAGAAGTAGTGATGTCGGTCAAAAGTCAGAGACAGTCAGAAAGAAGTTGTTAGAACGGGCTGTATTGTTTTTAAACCTAGCAGACAGTAAATAAGAGCAACTGGCACCTGCAAAGTTTCTCACTTCCTCAAAACATTTCCCTGTCTGTACTAAAAGTTCCTAAACATTCCTGCTGTCCTCTTGACTTGTAGTGACCCTCTGACATCAATGGAACCACCCCTGTTGGTTGTTTCAACCAATCAGGAAGTCCTGAAGTGACCGGAAGCGAGAACTCTTTAAACGTCCACACTTCCTGGAACTTCTGGTCTTCAAGTCGTCTTCTGAGTCTTCAGTCGAGTTGGGGTCTTCTGCAGTCTACTGAGTTGAACTCAGTCTTTGATGGAGTCTTCCACTCCTGAGTGGAAACTCTGACGGACCCACAGCCTCGCTGTGAACTCACCCGGGCATAATGCCCTACAACCTCGAAGGGAGCTGGTTCTGTTTAACGGAGTAAACCACACGACTTCTGACGATGGCCAGCCGCTCTTACCGGAGACGCTGAAAGGTAGCGTGCAAGGGACATCTAGACCGGAGCTGATCCATCATCTGCAAAGGTAAAGAGGCGTCACGAGTTGTCGCGCACTAAGTGTACCGGATGTTTGAGTTGGTGTTGAAAGAAGCGTGCTAATTCTGGTAAACAAAACAGACACCTCCCCTTCACCCATCTTTCTCTTCACCCATCCTTCCTTTAAACTATTCTATTTTGCCAGTACTCTAGATGCCCTCAGAAATGTCTTGTTGTCTTATTAGTGAAGCGTGCCAAGTTTTATTAATCAGAACCAGATCAGCTAATCACGTGTACATGTTTTGATGTTAAATTTTAAATCTGTTAAATAAATGACCACATTTATTCTGATGGGTCAAAGGAAATTGACGTCTCATGTCACTGATTTAAACACTCCTCTCACAGTTACCTCGTCACATGGCTAAAATTTAACTCGAAAAAGAGAGAACCCGTTATATTTAAATAATTAGTAGTGGAGGGTCAGAAAGCTGTCCTCGACAGCACTACATATTGGTGGCCCATACGGGTCTCTAAAGAGATAAATTATCCTCCATCCCCTGTTTAAAACCCCACCTTCTGCATTTTGGTGGCCGAACAGGTTTCTAAAGAGATATAAATTCTGTGACATGAGTATCTGTGCTGTTGAGATAACACTGCTTGTTGGCACATGGGAGTCTGTGTTTTGAACTTGAAAGGACATGATAAGTCATGCTTGTGGTGTTCAGAAAGCTGCAATTACGTCAATGTGTTCTTGTTAAAGCTGAAAGGTGTAAATCTGTTTGTGTAACTAAGCTGGATGCAGTGGGAAAAACGCTTTATTCTGTTTGAAACTGTAGCATGACCGGGAGGTTCTGCTGTCCGACTCGGTTTTGTTTATTGGACTGAACGAGTCGTGTTTTGAATGGATGAGACGTTGTTTGAAGCTGGGCGCCGCCTCAGATGCTGTTTTATGCTGATTTGTTACATTTTTAACAGTAAATGTGCATTTTTGAAGTTTTAATGGGCGATAATTTGACCGGACTGTTGATGCTAACTACTAGCTTGGAGCAGGTAAACATGGGCTGTGATTGGTTGAGAACCGCTGTTTGGGTCGTTCTGATTCGCTGAGAAGCTTGTGACATATTTCTGTGCATCCACTCCCTCTGATGTCAGATTGTAAAACCCACATCCGATGTGCACGTGTCTGAAAAGTCACGTGACCCAGGAAATGAAGCTCGTTTTAACCGAGTCCTCCTTTGTGTTTTAAAACGCTAAATAAAGCCTGACACTGTTCTTAATACTCATGTTTTCATGCAGATAAAGCGTGCTTGTTGATAAGCCACGTTTAAAAGCTTTAAAACCGTCCATAAAATGTTGATTTGCACCGTGCTCGACCGTTGCTACATTGAAGCTAAAGGCTAGCGACCAGATGTCAACAGGACGGTTCACAGGAAGTTGTCACAAGCCTCCTACTGGTAAAAGTAAGCTTACACTGCCACCTGCTATTGAAAAAGGAGTATAACAGTTTTCCTGAAAGAAAGCTGAATACTCGCTTTTCATTAAAAATAATTTTTTTGTTAATCAAGCCTGGTTTCTGTGTACTGTTTAAATAGCGAATTCTGGTAAATTAAAACTGCTTAAAAAGCGTTTGAACACTAAAGTTGATGTCAGACTTTTAGAAAAATTGCAGGTTTATTAATTTTAAGTGCACTTGAGTACAATAACACTGAAAAGCCCTGGTTCATGGTATCTGTTAAGCTCATAATTAAGTAACACTGCCAGAAGGAGGCATTTACTTACAATATTTATGGGTTAAGACCTTAACAGGGACCCATTTATTGCAAAGTTTGCTTATAACTGTACTGTTGATTGAACCCAGAGCTAAAATAGTGTGTGAATCTCACTGCTCATTAAAAAAAAAATGTACCTGTTAAAAACTCTAAGTGTGAAACTATTTCACCAGAGAGGCGCTGAACAGTGGTTTACCATGGCAGATTTAACAAACACTGATTTTGTTCCATGTGAGGAGAAGGACTGGTTAGAAAGAGCGTTAACGCTGCTAACAGAATCCTTACATCCATATGGTGAACAGGTGGACAGCATGAACTCAACAGAGTTATTGGACGAGCTGAAGGAAGTTGCAGAAAGTGTGACTCCTGCAACCATAATAAAGTCAAGCAATGACCAACTGGCTAAATTGGCACTCTTGCTAAAGGCTAAATTTTATATTGAGGCCAACAAAGCTGAAGACCTTGCAATAAGGTTAAACAGCGAAACAGGGGAATATCTAAGACTCATGGCACAGTCTAAATTTGATAAGGAGACATGGGAAAATGACTTAAAACGTGAGAGAGAGCTCTCACAAGCTCAGCTGTCGTTACAAGCAGACTCATATGAGGTGAAGCTTCGTGAAAGAGAGATTAAGTACCAAGCACTGTGTTCAGACAATGATGTGCTACAACGAGAGGTGCAGCTCACATCAAAAGCTATGAACGAGTGCAGATTGGAAAAGGCGGCGTTAGTCCAACAAGGCGTGCGTTTACAAAGTGAATGTCATACATCACGTGAACGTTTAAAAGCCTGTGAGGCAAAAATTGCCACAGCAACAAATGAGATTTCTGACGTGGGGCAAGGATGTCTGGAACTCAAAGACGAACAAAGTCAGAGTCCAGGCCACCCACCACCACCTCAGAAGGATTTTGCTGTACCTCCTGCACTTAATCCCCTTCTGTCACCTCCACGTGAGTCTAGTGACTCACCTCCACGTGCCCTTTTGGTTCCTACAACACCAATCACTCAGCCTCTGCTCTCGATTTCGGATTTGCAAAAATTTGCAAAATATGTCCAACGCTTTGAGCCAGGGCCGTTGGGTTCAACTGACACTAAGGCCTATCTGAACGACCTTGACTTCCAATTAAGAAGCTATCCCAATGCTACAGTTGAGGATAAAGTAGGTTTGATCAGGCTCACTTCAACCAGGACGGTGTTTTCCTTCATACAGCGTCAACCTGATGCCACAAGAAAGGATTACCGCCTGTTATGTGCTGCTCTTATGAAAGAGTATTCCCCTTGCACGGGACCTGGCGGTTATCCAGCCGCCGACAAGGTCATGCAAGGTAAGAATGAGCACCCCAGGGCATATTATTCCAGGATTTTGCAGGCTTATTTTGGTTACAGGAATGACACCGGAATGGAGAAGGAGG